CAAGTTCATGTTAGGATGGGTTCTGGTGCCAAATGAGTTATCGAAAGAGCTTTATCAAGCTTTGTGAATTTTTTAAATTATAGCTAAGGGATTATGGATCTGAGCCTTTATCATTTCTCCCTCTTCCTTGTTTTTATAATTAACTGTTTAAACACTTAAACACTTTTAAAAAGGACTCTTATAGGCTCATTTCACTCTGCTTTCTAAAACAATTTAAAGAGCAAATTTTTAGAGTTAATACCAGCAAATCTGCAGATTATTCAGCTCCACTAATATGTAAAAGATAAACCTTTCAATTCTTTACTGAGAACATGAAAACAGAATTCTGAAAAAAAAAGACCCAGCTAGGTGAATTCACTGATGTCTTGTTTCAGCTAGCTACACTAGAGTTAAACCACACTATAAACATATTTACTTAAAATTAGCTAGAAAGTCATTTCAGCCATAGCATTGCTAATATAATTCATAAAGCAAACTAGAAAATATGAAATCATAAAAATAAAACCATGAGTTCTGCTACAGTTTTGCATATAAGTGAATCACTTGTCATGTTTTAATAACCTAAAGGTTAAAAATTAGGGTTTATAATACTTTGGAACTTTATGCAATGTATTTGCTTGGAAAGAAAACTCTTGAGTGACAAGCTCATAAGTTATATAAGTTTGTGCAGCGGTCTTTCGGCACATAGACTTTAAAGAAAAGTTTTACATGGATTTCATTATTCCTACCTTCTAAGTATTTAGAGATTTTCTCCAGTCGGACTGGCATGTGAAAGTAAAAAAAAATTAGACATATAAATAAATATTAATGCATGCATAATGTATCAGTTGCTGAATTAAAAACTAGGTTCAAGAGCCCAACCTGAGGTTAAATCAGAACTTCTGCCACTCTTTTTGTCCTCCACAATTTCATAAAATGGACCAATGACATGAAGCAGTTCTTCAACTTTTTCAGTCATGGGCATAGTTTCAAGAATCTGTAATCAAAAGAAACAGAGCTTGTGAAAAGGAAATATGAATGTGATCCACACTAGCACCAAATAATATAATATCTATAATTTATTGGTAACTTTGAGATCTGACGTTCTTTTATAGACTCCTCAAAGTATCCATGTTAATTACTTACTTAACACATATACTCTCTTAGAAAAATCTCAAGTATATTAAAGATTTCAAAGTGTTCTCATTTTGAAAACTATTTCACATAAGCTTTGTGTAAAATTTTACACAACAATCCAAAGATTGTGCATTAAACACTAAAGGTACTAATGTTAAATAAAATAGAAAATTTGAGGGTTAGAGTAAAATTATTATGTCTGTGTTTTTAAAAGGGTATTCACATAAAGTAGGAAGTGGTAACCACTCTTAGACACCTTCATGACTATGGGCCGGCCAATTTCGAATCATCACATTTAAAGAGCAAAGTAGATTAACTGAAAATGCATTCAAAGAAATGGCCATCAGCTGGTGACTGTCAAAAAAAAAAACACAGTATTTCTAGATATGGAGTATTTTGTAGATATTAAAAAGACAAAAATTAGCTGTATGTGTGCTGACTGGAAAAATATAAAATCTGTTTACAGGCAAAAAGCGAACTGCTGCATAGTGTGTTTAATATGATACCATTATTGGTTTTCTTCCTTTTTTTAAATAATAGGATGTGTATGTCTTTTCTAAGTCTACAAAACACAATTAAAATTACTATTAAAGAGTTAAAATGGAGGGAATGAAGAAAGATTATAAGAATATTCAAGGTAAAGAAAACAGAGTGTTATCAAGCCAAAGCTTTAGATTATCTTTCTCCCTCTGCTTTTGAAAGGCTCCTTTGTTGTGCTTTTATGTTGTGTCTGTATGTTGTGTTAACATCTAGCTAACAGCCAAAGAACTAAGCTCTGACTTCTGCTATAAAGTCCAGTAGATAAGAAAAGTGTGAAAAATGTAAAAAAGGGCACAACTTTGAGTAGTGTAGAAGAAAATAAAACAAAACAAAATAAATTAGTCTGAATCTATCAAAAAAAATTACTACAGAGATTAATACTGTCAAAGCATCTGGCAGAAACTATTTCTTTTTACAGATTTTCTTTACATTCAACTATATTTAAGGTTATCAAACATCTAGATTTCAGAACTTTGGGATCCATCTCCAACATACAGTCCTTTATAGAAAGGCACTAAAATGATATTAAAAATCCATGATTTCTTCATTAACTTGCTCTTTAAAACAATTCCTTGAACAGGAGAGCTAGTTAATAAAGAATGCCCTCCTTACAAGTTACCAGAGAAACTAGAAGCATCCTTAACTTATTCTGCTTCTGCAGGATCTTTGCATTCACAGAAAAATGCTTATTACTAAGAAGCTCAGTGGCAGGAACATCTCAATTTATGAGTCAACTCTTGTCTGAGGACACTGTTGGGCAGTCTTGTCACCTGTTTCTCATAAATAGTTTCAAAGCAGATATGTTTTCAAGACAGCCCAGGTACTTCCCAGACTCCTGAGCACGGGAAATCATTATTTTAAAAGATTCCGATTTATGTATTTTCTACAGAAGTCAACTACAGAGAAAGGGAAGATGAAAAAAATTAAAACAAAATACCATGTCACCACAATGTGACATCTTAAGGAAAAAACACTTACCTTACGATGAACTTTGATGAGACAGATAAAGCCAAGATAAATTCAGTAATCTAGATTTTATATTCTAATATATTACAATCTCCTTGCTCCTTAAAAAAAGCAGCTAGTTTGCCTGATAACAAAACTGAATCAAAGTCGCTCTGAATATTTTTATTTTCTATTATGAATTATTTTCCATACCTTTTTCATTTCTTCAACATATGCAATCATGGCTTCCTCTTTGGTCATATCACCCAATGAACTCCAAGCATCCCTGGAAATGAAAATATCCAAATAATAAAAAGACACCTGATTTCAGTTGCTCAGAATATAATTTAGAGTTAATGCTATAGGGTCACTATTTTAAAACTGGCTTTACTTAAAGCTATATCAATATTTCCAGAAGATTTCTTGAAATGCACCACCTTGAAGAATAGTATCATTGTGAATAAAATGGCAAATTAAACAGTATCTAAAACTAGTCAGTATAAAAACCTACCTAAAGACCATAGATTATTGAGACCAGATTACATACACTCTAGACCATGCAGGCTACAGACTGTTTATAATTATCTGCTAAGAACTCTTTAGAAGTCTTTCTACCATTATAAGGAACAGTGACAAAAACGACCATTTTAGAAAACTCTACATGAACGGTCACAGTCATGTTTCAAAGGAACAGAAGTTTTGGTTAATTTAAATAAGAATCTAACAGACACTTGAACAATGGAGGGGGGAGGGTATAGCTCAAGAGGTAGAGCGCATGCTTAGCATGCACAAGGTCCTGGGTTCAATACCCAGTCCCTCCTCCAAATATAAATGAGTAAGTAAAATCAATTAAAAAAGGAAGAAAGGAAAAGAAAAATGGAAAAGCTTTCTTGCTTCTAAAAACACAAAAATGTGAGGGACAGGAGAATTTCAAAGCCTTAGATAATGAGAAGAGTTCTTTGAAATTTTTGCCTAAAAGGAAAACCTCTCTTTTTTATAGGTATTTTCCAGAGCAGTTTAACTCCAGCAAAGGTCAATTCTGAGGACAATCATTAAGTAAATAAATAAATTTTCTTCAAACAGATTGAATAACATATTGCTATTCCATTTAACCTATTATTTTGTGACTATTCATAAAGATCTTAGAGGAAAGCACAGGATTAAGAAATCCTCAAAGGAGTTTAAGGACTTTCAATATTGGGTAAGGAAACTTAGCCATCAAGACACACAGCTTAATTAATTGGTTTCCTTGGCCAATTAGCATACTCTGTTCATGAGGTACATGGCCTACATTAGACAACGTCAGATGTCTTGTTAGACATCTGTCAAGTCTTCAGTAGTGTGCAGAACATCAAATGTTAGTCAACTGGAAAAATGGCAGAGGTACTGTGTGATTCTTTTAAGTATATTAAAGATCAAATTTCTACTCAAGTACAGGGGGACAGGAGTGACAGCTTAGATAAAAAGTTAGTCTGGCAGACTTTGAGTCAGGCTCCTAGTTATTTATTATCTCAAAGTCTCAAAGCAAACAATGTCACCTAACAAGCAAGTCATTATTTTTCCTGGCAGGTAAAAGATGCAGGAGAGTTTGTTTCTTTAACTTAGCAGGAGTTATTCTTGGCATAAAGAAAAGGCAACACTCCATAAAAGGAAAAAGACTACCTGAAAATGCTTTTTGATCTTTGATACAAATACCCCTTTTGGTTTTATTGTTTCCCTCTTTTCCCTAAGACCTTCCTTTTTGTATGAAATTGTGTCAAGAGCAGAGAGGATAAAAATGTACCCAGTACCCAGAATACTTTATGCACAAAATAATACATAACCACATAAATAACAGTCATATGGTAATTATGTCATTAAACTCAAAATTCTTTCATAGCTCTCTATATAAAGTTACCATTTATATCTTCCAATAGGATCCCAGAATGCAGGCCTTGATAGTTTACAGGGTCCTTCAGTTGCCTGCTTATAGAAGCTATAGAACTTGAGCATCATTTCATTTGTCGGCTGGAATGAACCTATTGGAAACATACATTAAGTAAGATCACTTGGAGAATACAATTGATGATCTATTGCTATAAATTAGCTTAGCTATACTAATAGAGATTTTTAATATTTCATTAACAGTTCAGGTTATTTTACTATTTTACATAAAAAAAAACAAATGGCTCAGTTAGTTTCTTTATTCCTTTGATTTAAAAAAAAACTTTGAGATTTTACACTTTAGTAACAATATCTAACACAGTTCAACAAATAAAAGAATAAATAAGTAAACATTTGGTAGGTGTAATCAAAATAATGGTGAATGTCAGTAAAAAAACAAATAAAAAGTTAAATGTATATTCTGCCTAATAAAATTGCAACAGTAAGAAATTCAACTTCTCATGGCCAAATTTCCAGTTTCTGAATGGATTAGGAACTTTGGCTAAAGCCAACCAGTGTGTACTGTGGTAGAAAAAGAGTTAATCTAAGATAAAATGGATTTCTCATTTTCTACCTCCATGGTTTTTGCACACATCAATTTTTTGAGGATTAGTCTTCATATATGTTTCTAGCATATCAATAAACTTTTTTATGTTTAAAAATTTCAGATTGCGGGGAGGGTATAGCTCAGTGGTAGAGTACGTGCTTAGCACGCACAAGGTCCTGGGTTCAATCCCCAGTACCTCCATTAGAAAAATAAATAAATAGACAAACCTGATTACCTCCCCACTACTTCAAGAAATCTTTTAACAATTTTTTAAATATTTGTGTAAACAAAGAAAAAATTCAGATTGTATGAATGAGTGCTATAAGTTACAAAACTTAACAACAGAAAATTTGAAATATGTTTTATGATAAATAACTGGCTAAATAATTATGATGTACAGATACAATGGGATTATTGATAGATACCCTTAAATATTTTATTGTAGAAAATATTAAAAAATGGCATGAGAAAAGCTTCATAATCTACTATAAAGTAAGAATAAAACAGCAGTTGAAAACAGCACATCCGGGGGGAGGGTATAGCTCAGTGGTAGAGTGCATGCCTAGTATGCAAGAGGTTCTGGGCTCAATCCCCAGTACTTCCACTAAAAAATTAAATAAAAAAACCTAATTACCTCCCCCAACTAAAAAAAAAAACTAAAACAGCATATCCAGCACAATCCATTTTTGCAAAATAAGTACTTACATACATAAAAAGCAGAGTAGAAGAAAACACATCAAAATGTTAAAAGATGATGTTCGCTAAATCATAGGCATACAGATTACTTCTATTTTCTTTTCTGCTTCTTTGTATTTTTAAAACATTTACATTTGGTATGTATTACTTTTACTCCAAAGTGTATTATAAAGGTAAAAATTAAAACTGTAAAAAGATATTTTTAAAACTTCATAGATTGCATAATAAACTGATAACATGTAGTAATCAAAAGCAGTAGTTTATAAACATTGTGAAAATTACCACACAGACAAGCTAAAAGCTGGTGTTTCAGGTTTGGCCCAGGGTGAATAATTAAATCCAAAATTACAATGAGAATTATCTATACAAAATATGATCATTTAGGAGTATCCATTAGATACAGTGTTTCAATGATATAGTCCTTCTTTATATAGCAGTAGGGGAAAAATATGAAGAAACTATAGTTAAAAATAGCTACCTATTTAAATAACACAAATCTAAATTTAAAACATCAAAAGCACCATAATGACTTCAGTAAGTCAATCAACTAAGATTGAAGTTTATTGGTTAAAGTGAATAATATATGCATTAGGTTATAGCAAAACCTAGCAATATACCTTGAATATATGCCACTGGATAAAGAAAAATCTCTGTCCTCAAGTTGCTCACACATAATATATTTTATCTATATGTGTTAAAAATATTATATATAAAATCAGATTTTTAAAGGCCAAGGGCATACCAAACACAGATGCTATAGGATTCTATAACCCTGAGCCATAAATAAAGATTAAGCAATAAGCAAAAAAATCAAAAATCAAAAAAACTATCAGATCTTACTCTTTGCAAAATAACCCAGGACAGATGACACAACTTAAAAAGTTTTACTATAAAAATATTTAAGAATTCATTATAATAGTAGTTCTGCTTCAATTAGTATCAATTTAGTTTCAGGGGTAACAGTACAGTACTGAATATTGACCAACACAGGTGTCATTTGGCCATGTTACCTTAACTTTACAATACCTTCTTAAATGTTATATAAATACAAACTGTATTTATACTTACAGGAGTTTCCTAAAAAGTGATACATGACGTCAACAAAGATAGCACAGTAGAGACATCAAGTCTCCTGTTACCAATTTTCAAAAAAAATAGAAAAATGTGTGGTTTAGAAGTAAGGATGAAGGTACATCTTAAACAAAACTCTTTTAGAAGTATGCCTTCCTATAAACTCTCTTAATTAGGCATTCAAAAAATCAATAACTAAGTAAGTTCCTATACTAATTCTTTACATTTTGTTCATTCACTCTTCTTTTTAATCCCTCTGAACTTAATGAATTTTTGTTAATGGTACTGAACATTCATTACTTGGCTAAATGATAAATTAATGAAAATAGAGAACACAATATTAAATACTATAGTAATATATTAGTGTTGTATTCAGTTAGTTTTACACTCTGGTACAATGGTAGTACTTAAAAGCACCATTAAAACTACACGTTTATACGAAAAATAATTCATATAATGCAGAAAGATATGACATGAAAAGCAAAAGTCTCCCTCTCCAAACCTCTCCACAGAAAACAATATTTGAATAATGGCCTCAAACTTCTCAACACTGGTCAAAGACATAAAATTACAAATTCAGAAAGCTCTGTAAAATCCCAAACGGGATAAATATGAAGAAAACCATACCAAGACAGATCATAATCAAACTGCTGAAAACCAACGATAAAGAGGAAAAATCTTGAAAGAAACCAGAGAATAGGTTAAATATAAAAGAACTCCAGTGACTTTTCACCCAAGTTGCAAAGGTCCAATACGAGCATAAAAAGGAGAACACCTAGTGAACACTAGTACAGTTGAATGGGGTTTTTTTTCAAGTAGTAAATATGTATGCTTTTTTAAATAAGAAATTGTTTTACAAACGAATATAATTGTTCTTTCCTTTCTCTCCTTTCATATCAAAAGTTTTTAAAAGACTTAAAAGTAGACTTTATGAGTATGCAACACCAGGCATCCCCATGCCAGATTTCTTTTAATATATCCAAATCCGCAGTCATTAAGTGACAAGACTTTTCTTTCCAACAATATACACTACTTAAAATCTGGATAATATATTTGTCTCTGGTTTGAAAGATCAGCAGGCAACTAATTCACAACCGATACCTCCCCTCCAATTCCATTCCTTTTCAACCCATAAAAGAAGTACGTTAAATAAGCAAGATTAGAAGCAGAAAGGTTAAAGAAGGTGGATTAAGAAAACTGGGGCCTCAGGCCTCTGTAATAGGCTTCTTCAGCGGGGACCCAGCGCGCGTACCATTTTTCGGCAAACTCTGGATCACCTTCACCGCTGCCTCAAATCTGGTTTCATGCACGGATCTCGTGTCCGCCATCTCCAGCCGCCAGCGCCGGCCCCGGTCCCAAGGTCTGTCGGGTGGAATCAGGCAGCAGCAGCAGCACCAGCTTTCCCAGGAGCCTGCATGAAACTGGAACATGGAGCGCAGCCGCGGATCAACATGACCAAAGGGGAGGAGGACCTGGAGCGCAGCTGGTCAGTTCGCCGTTGCCCTGCCCTATCCAGGCCACACAGACCGAGATGGCCCGGTTCCTTCCTCCTCCCCGGGGCGTGACCAAGGCCGGGGAGCCGGGCCGCCAAGACAGAAAACAACTCACCGAGAAGAAAAGCATCTCTAGAAGGCAGAGGGGCCCCGGCCACCGGCGGTCGCGGAGCCGCTCTCCCACCCGCCGGACCCTGGCGGAGCAACCACACCCCCCATCCCGACTAGGTCGGTCTGTCTGTCCGCGCCCTCCCCGCAGCCCCGCCC